TATTCTGTCTAGCTCCACAAGCTTGTGACATATCTCTGTAACCAATCAGCGTTCAACTGCACGTGTAGCTCAACCTTTTGGTACTCTTTCTCTTGTTTGGTACCCTTTTGAAAGGGTGCCGAAAAAGTGGTACTGTGTGGTTCCGTACGCTTTTTGACAGTGGAAACGGCCATAAAAGCATACCAAACCGAACCGTACCATTCAGTGGAAACGGGCCATAAAGTACTGTACTTAAGTACTTAAAGGCTGTATCTGTATCTACTGGAGCATTGTTTTTTCTCTTACTTCCTCTTTTACTTCAGTATATATTTATGGTGAGTTTAATACATTTACTCTGATAGATTTTTTATGTGCTGCCACGTTACTCATTTTTTGGGGTGTCAAAATTATTGATATCGGTTCCGTAATAGATCATAGCCAGTTATTACGTACTGACGTCATTTATCTCTTATGTGCAATGTCGCAGTAGAATACTATGGCGAAAGAGGTGATTTTCCGCTATTTCACCACTACGGAGAAATGCTGTAACTCTCCATCTTTACCACTATCTCAAATTGGAGATTTGACCCGTGGCATGTTTGTGAGGTTACTTTTCCTCTCCTCTTGACTGTTAAAGAGATACTAGTGGATTTAGACACGAGCGTACCTGAGGTGCGAGTTTTCTCCACTGTGTCTATCATGGATTGCCTGTGATAACCGCACATTATGCACATATAGACCGTCACCACGGCTGCTCTTCCTACCATTGGTAAACAGCGCTTTCATTTCTAAAGCCGATCGCAGCCCTTTCTGTTAAGCAGGGGAAGACAATAACCACTGATAGGGGTGTAAGACATCCCCTGGCAGTGCTTAAAAAGCAACCAGGATAATATTTAAATAAGTTTGTTTGCAAAAATTGCTCATGCTGTCTTTTGTGCATGTGCATGAGTTTTGTCTGATACATTCAGAAAGAGTGTTTTTCTTTTAGCAGGTCAAATTAAGGGTACAGTTCATATTTCTTACTGCTGTATTAAAGAACAAAATTGTGTTACAAATATTATATCAATATATTTATAGATTTTAATTAAAAAATATTGTGTTATGAAGAAAAAAATCAATTATAAAAAAATAATTTTTCTTGGCTGAAAAAAAGATCTTTAAAATAAGCAAAACAATATAATGTATTTTGACTGCTTTCTTTAATAACTACATTACACAATACTCTAGTATTTGAGTAGTAAATTTTGAAATAAACTACTTGCAATACTTAAGTACAAAAAATGTTGAATACTTTAGTACTTCCACTTAAGTCAGGTGCTTAAAGAGCACTTCAACTTCTACTCAAGTCACTTTTTTGATAGAGCACTTGTGCTTTTACTCAAGTCTTGGTCTCTAGTACTTTATACATCTTCGCTAACCAGTGAGCGATTGTGCCAGCCAAATGAATTATATTTGAAGTGATAGTTGTTTTTATTGCACACTGTAATATACAACACTAATTACCTACATAATAAATAACCCCATAATCATTCTTTTTTTCATTGCACATTCCTTCCTTAAAGATGATGGTTGCCCACTAAACTTCCAATTTTTATCAATGCATCGGACAGTTCTTAACTGAATTTTAGTAGTTTCAGCAATCTCTTTAGATAATTTCTGTGCTTGATACATGCCAATAATTTGCCCCTGAAATAGATTAACATATTTTACATGATCACAGGGTGTGTATTTGAAATGGTTGTTTAAGAAATGAGTAACTATCCTCTGCATCATTTAGGTTAGTTACCATCTAAATCATAATCATCTATGCATTTACCAATTGGAGTCTTTTAACTATTTGTTTAGTTAGATCCAGGTATTGAATTCCAATTTAGACAACAGTGAACAAGATTATAAGATTTGTAAAGGATACGTGTATGAGATATATAAGTTTATGCAAAAACTAAATTAAATATTGAAAAAATAAAACCTTAATTTTACTGAAAACATTGTAGTTGCATTTACAGCAGCTGAAAATCCCATTGTTTGTTTTCTTTGTTTAGAAAATAATTTTCTACTAAATATATATAGTTCCACTGACTCTTGATGATATTGTACTTTGAGGTTTTATGAAGCAAAAAGTTTGCCAGAGTAGGTGCAAAGAACAAAACATTAATAAACTGCATTGGTACTTTAGTGCATTCAAATCAGCCTTGAGGGAGTGCAAAATAATGCTGTTCTAGATTGTCTGACCAATAGCAAATGAGAGGTGTGTTCAAGAAATGAAATGTTAGTAAACAGTGACAATTTTTTAGATAATTCTTTTCGATAAAAGTAGTGACACATGCTGTAATAAACAACACACGTTACCTTTAATTTTACTGACAGAGTAAATTGAAAGTAACAAATAAACAAAGAAAAAAACAAAACTGAACTGTTGACATTTCAGGGCACAGCAGAGTGAAATTCACCATTTGTCACCTCACATTCATCTATTCTTCATGACCTTCCCAAACCCACGTAAAACAACCAGGTCTGCACTCTGGCTGTGATATTAATAATAATATTAGCAGGAGGCAGCTCAGCACAGAGCAGATGATGTCTACGTACTGCAGTTTGGAGAAGCAGGAGCTGCCAGTGAATGAATGCAGGTCTGGTGGAGTCCTGCAGGTCTCTGCATGGGACACAATCTCTGTTTTACACCACACACCTCCTGCTAGCTACTTTATTGCTCGTTGTCTGTCTTTAGGTTTTCATTAAATCACATTGTGATCAGCGAATGAGAAAAAGGAAACGGCATGTTCGGCTATTTTCATTAATGTGCATTTACTCTGTGGATCATGTTGATGTGTCATTTTAATTTAAAAATAGTTTTAAATTAACACAGTAACATTAGTCCAAACTGAAGCTTAAATGAAAACAAGGCTGATGGTGACCATGGATGGGCAAGGATTGTAAAACTATTCACCAATTTCAGATCCAGCTAGGCTTTAGTGATTATTTCATACTGATTTATTTATTATCAGCAAGTTTTGAAATAGGTAGGGAAAAAATATAAATCAGTCAGATTATTCACATTTCGTTTGACAGACCAGCCCATCCAGACCATGGTCGTGAGAGGCCATCCCCATTTCCGTGGGATACCCCGGATCAATGTTGGATGTTGAAGTGGTAATCCTGGAGTGACTACAACCACCTGGAGACTTGTGCATTATTGTTTTTCGCTGTAGCCATCCATTTTAGAGGACCATGATCTGTTATCAGAGTGAACAGTCTTCCTAGCAGGTAATATTTTAGCTCCAGCATTGCCCAGTTGATCACCAGGGCCTCCTTTTCGACCACTGCGTACTTGGTCTCAGCGGACACTAGCTTCCAAACTTACGTATACGATGGGATGTTCTTCACCGTTGTGAACCTGGGGAAGGACTGTGCCCAGGCCTGAGTTGAAAGCGTCTAACTGAAAGATGTAGAGGCAGCTGAAATCAGGTGCGTGCAGTACCGAGGAGGACGTTAGTGCCAACTTCAGTGCCTGGAAAGCCTTTTCCGTTGTCGCACTCCACTTCAATTCTCTCTTACTGCCCCTTTCTGGTCAGGTCTGTCAGTGGGCTGGCTATGGATGAGAAGCTAGGTATAAAGCATCTATAGTAGCCTGCTAACCCAAGAAATGCATGTACCTGTGTTTCTGTAGTCAGTTGTGGGGATTCTTGGAGAGCTTTCAATTTGTTTTGTTGTGACTGGATAAGGATACCTCTTCCTATATGGAAGCCCAGGTATTTGGCTTCAGCTAATCCTAGGTGGCATTTCCTGGGGTTAGCTTTGAGCCCAGCCCGTCGTAGATCCGAGACCACCCTCCGCAACCTGGATAGATGTTCCTCCCATGAGTGGGTAATCAGATCGTCCAGGTAAGCTGCTGCATATGGCTGGTGGGGCAGCAGCAGGACGTCCATCTTTCTTTGGAATGTGGCTGGAGCCCTGTGGAGCCTGAAGGGAAGAACCCGGTAATGCCAGTGTCTTCTGGGTGTGGAAAAGGCGCTTTGGGGGGAGGGTCATATTTGGGGGTCCGCTGGCATATGTTGCACGCTTGACAATATCTCTTTACTTCTCGGTCTCGGATCCTCTTCACCATATTTGCAGCTCCTAGATGTCCTGCCATCGGGTGAGTATGTGCCAGCTCTATAGTGTCACTTTTGTTCTTCGGAACCACTAATAGGGTTTTCTTTTCCCTCTGCCTCTCTGCGACACTGTACAGCAGATCATTTTGTACTATAAACTGTGGGAGGGGGTGAGGGCTAGGTAGACGTTCTTTTACATCTACTATTCTCACTCATCTTCTTGTTGTGCTCTCCCGAAATCGCCTCCTAGGTGAATTTGTGGACTCACCCCCTTTATCGCTCTCGGTGGCCAGTAGTATTTCATAAATAAGTTAATTAATTTAGATTTTTTTGGTGAACTATTCTTTTAAAATGTGATTTGGCAAAGGACTCTTCCTCAGTAGTTTTAGATTTTGTGTTTACTGAAAAAAAAATCCCTTCTTTTATATTCTGGATAAACTCAACGAGAACACAAACAGTGACAAATGTATACAGTAGGCAACATTCTTTCCTTGCAAAAACATGCAAAAAAATAAAAATACTGAAGAACATCTTTAGTCTTATTATGGCAGAGTGAAACACTGTCATATTAGTTTAGATTATATTTTTCATATAACTAACCCCATAAATTAAATATTACTAGAGCAGTTACTTTTCTTACAGTTATAACCAAGGAAAAGCTGTCACTCCTGCAGTTCTATAGGCACCCCCAGCTGGAACTTCCATTTTTAGCATATGTACCTTTTTAGGTTTGTGCCAGAATGTTTTTCTGTAGCATAATTTCAGACAGACTGTTTTTTTCACTACATATTTAAAAATGTTATAATCTATTTTAAATATCCAACTACCCAAGATAATGCACGTTGCTCCATTTGTGAGAATCATAACTAAAGTGTAGTTGCTGCCTCTAATATTATTAACTAGATCAGTCTGTGATAAAGCAAATAAACATTTTTGCACACATGACCATTTATTTTTTGCTTTAAGTTTAAAATGAACAAAGAACAAATCATCCAAATAAACAAAACCTTCGTCTAAGGTCTCTATAGAAACCTTTATACAGTATAAAGATATTGTTAATTTTTTTAACCACAATACCCGTTGTGTGAAAAATGCAAAATCATGAAAGCCCAACACTGAACAATATATTTAAGGATGATTTAGTGGATTTACTATTTATTTTATTAAGGTATGTGGTTGGAAACAATTACTTTGGGCTGAATTTAAACAAATTAATTAGGTTGAACATTACGAAGTTGAATTTGTTTCTGTAAATTCAATCCATATAAATTGCAACAATTTTTCAGAAATATTTTTTGCAGTGTAGTCTGGATCCAAAAAATTAAATAAAAGAATAAGATGTACAAAAGCAGAACAGGCACAAAAATGTTTTCAGTCATTTCAGTGTGGATGTGTGGAGGCAAAGCTTTCTTACACACAAAAAATGTCATTTTTAAATTTATCTGGCAAGTGTGGACACACTTAGGCCCAATCCCAATTCTACCCCTTAGCCCTTCCCCTTACCCAATTCTCTTTAGCTTGAAGGCTAAGGGGAAGGGGTGAATAGCCCTTCGAACGAAGATTTTTCAGGACCACACTTGAAACCAAGGGGTAAGAAATTTTCTCAGAATACACCTGCCACAAAGGCAATATTGCTGAACCTGGAAGTAATGAGGTCCACAAATTAGTATTTTTTGTCATTATTATGAATTTTTACGACAAAAAAAACATGTGTTTTAATACATTCAAAACCACGCTCGTGTTTTACCGTCATGCTTTAACAAACAAAACGCTAAATTTCGCGATCTATAATCCCTATTAATAACTCCTGTACAACAGTCCCACAGCATTCTGACATTTGAATACCCTGTAAGTAATGTCTAGTGGCTGTCAATTGTCATTTTACAGTGTTTGCTATAATGTTAATGTTGTTTTTGGTGTTTACATTGATGAATATGGCCACTGTGTAAAATACACAGTACAGTTACGATCTTATTGGCACATTAGATCGTTATCATAACATACTATATGCCTTTAGTGATTTCCTAAAGATAAATACCAAGAAAAAACAAAACTAGAATAACTACAGAAGTCGCGATCGTCTGATCTCATATGAAGCATCAGATCGTGAGGACATATGTTGATGTGTGCAGGTGGTGTAGTGCTGTCCCAATTCTTAAGGATAAATTTTGAAGCCCTTTTCCTTAACGCTCGGTTGTAAGGGCCAAGGGGAAGGTTAAGGGGTAGGGGTACAAAAATAGAATTGGGATTGGGACTTAAAGTCAACTTTTATTTGCAATCATATTTATAAACATTCTTGATCTTGTTCTCATATTATTATGTAGTTGCTGCATGTTTGATCCACTGTTTGAAGTACTGCACTTCCAGCGATCTTGCTTTAATGACAGATTGTGGGTCAAGCTCGTTGTTGTAGCGCAGATCAAGATGGTGAGCACCTCCATCAATCATAATGGCAAGCAGAGATTCAGACAGACTCTTGGTCACTCCACCACTCATCCATGGGTCTAGATTCCCATTACTGAAAAAGAAGACACTTTGAAACTTAAGGTCTGAAATAGAACATATAAATGTAAAGTTCCAATTATGCAATACACAACTGGTCAAAAGTTTGGGGTCAGTTTTATTCTTTTTAATTATTAATTTTATTTATTAATTTCTTTCTTTCTTTTTTGCATGTTTGTCACACTTTAATGTTTCTGATCATCAAACTAATTTAAATATTAGTTAAAGATACCACAAGTAAACACCTTGCAAATAACGGGGAAGAATAAATGAATAAAAAATAGCAGGACAAACTACATTAAAGACAAGACACCATGAAGCGGTTACAAAGAGGTATACAGATTATTTAACGGCTGGGTTAATTCTTTCAGATTTTTAAAATATGATAAAATCAGTTCCCAGTAGGTATATAACCTGTCAATGGATCCCCTTAGTGTGTATTTAATCTTTTCTAGTTTAAGAAAAGACATCACATCTTTAAACCAGGCTGTCACAGATGGGGGTGTGGAGGATTTCCAGCATAATAAAATTCTTCTGCTGGCTAATAAATATGTATAAGCAATAATACCCCTCTGAGTCGCTGATAAAGATATGACCATGGTGTCACTAAGAGTTCTAAATGTACCTATTGAAGAACAGGGCTTCAATGTCTCCCACAGGACCTCACTGATAGACTTAAAAACCAATGTCCAGTAATTATTTAAAAAGGGCAAAAACCAAGGAATACAGGCATGTCAAATCAGTTATAGAAAAGGAACATCTCACAAGACATCTAATTCAGGATACATTCCTGCCAACCGTGCCTTGCTTAACTGGACCCTGTGTAACACTTTGAATTGCATGAGTCTCAATCTAACAGATGATGATGGTGATGTATGGACCTGTCTGAGCACCTCCTCTCAAAAATATCTGATAGTTTTATACCCAGTTCATCTTCCATTCTAGATTTTTGTTGCATCCACATTATATTGTTTTCAGGTTTGGAGTATAATATAGAGATCAATCCTTTATTATTAAAATTAAGAGTACGATTATGTAATGGAAAAGTTTATGAAGCGAATCTGTAAATTAAATCAAATAATCCAACATTTTGAGCATTAGGTTTTAACAAATGCTGTATTGAAGAGTGCATTTGATTTTGTAAAAAAAAAAAATAGAAATACATTTATGTAAGTTTCAAATTACTTTTTAACTGATTCCAAGTTATTTGTTGCAATCAACATATTCTATCTCAGAACCATCCAATAAGAAATGTTTAAAACTTAATAGTAAACTTCTATTAAAAATAAAAAAAATATTTTATTAGTCTTTTAAACTAAACAAAGCTTGCAAAAGCATGTTGAATGTTTAAAAACTGGCCTGCTGTGAAGGAATTACTGTAGTCAACGTATAACTAGATGTATTGATGAGAATCACCAGCAGCAGAATCAATATCATTACGATAAATATTAAGAAAGTGTCAGCACCAAATTGCTACCTTGCAGAACCTCTTTATAAAGTGGGAGGGGATCTGACAAAAGCCCCTCTAACCTTACTGATTTCAGATGAACCTGACCGGACAGCTCTCAGATAGTCCAATATCTCTTATGCCGAATTCAGACTACATCATTTTCAAAGTTGTCATGTCACAGATGTTTTCACACTGCATAACTATCTGGGCTAGTCTCTCGTCGCTGCTTTGTTTACACTGCAAGATGGATTAGCGACAGGGGCTTCTACATTACATGACTTTACAAAAGGAAGAATCACTGACAACTTCATCCAAACTATGTCTCACAGCCAAAAACACATTGTATATATTTTGTTATTAACTACATAATGCATAATGAGAAAGAAGCTTATAATGGGGTAGAAAATGTAAATATTTGCTTATCCGGGTTTTAAGGGAATTAGCCATTTCTCCCAAACATAAGTTAATAATAAATTTTTCTTTCTTTTTTAACTTTCTGTATGAAACGTCAGACGACAGACACGGGTGCTCCTGTCAAACCTCCACTAGTTTTTCCTACATTTCATGCGTCCAAATAAGCCGAAATGATCTTTTTTAATTTTTCCCCCAACATTCCGCTGGCCTGCAGGTATACACACACACACACACACACACACACACACACACACACACACACACACACACACACACACACAAACACACACACACACACACAAAGTGAATGCTGCTCTCTCATTGGCTGTGTACGATCGCCTATGTTATTTTCAGTCAAAACTCATTTCACACAGCATGATTTGAATCGCCGACAGCTCTAGATATTTAGCATGCCAAATACCTCACAGGTATTGGCGACTTATCGGCGATTCTCTCAGATCGCGTCTTTGATAGTTTATACTGTGTGATCGTCACTCACATGCATGAGCACCGATTTGCCTGTGATTTCAGACATTTGTCTGCGATTTCTCAAAACCTGTCAGCGAGCCAAAATCGGGGCTAAAATCATGCAGTCTGAACTAGGCATTAGCCTATTCAGCAGTACTTCATGGTTCACAGAGTCAAAAGTCTTTGCCAGATTGATAATAACAACTACATAGTACTTTATCAATGGCACATATAATATCACTGAGAATCTTAAGTTAAGCTGTTATACAACTATGATCAGATCTAAAAATTAACTGAACCTGATTAAGAACATTATATGTCTCCAAATAATAGATGAGCAGGTTATTGACCAGCTTCTCTATTATTTTAGAGAGACCAGACAAAATAGAGATGGGTCTATAGAAAAATCTGTGTTTTCAACCCCTTTAAAGAGTTACAGCAGCAGATTTCCAGTTTCTCAGTTGGACACCGATTTGGAGAGAAAGATTAAAAATGCATGTGATAGGCTCTGAAATGACATATATTGCTTTCTTGAAAAATAATAGATCTTCGCCTCACAGAAAGAAGGTTGCTGGTTTGAGCTCCAGCCAGGTCAGTTGGCATTTATATGTGGAGTGTGCATGTTCTCCTTGGGTTCGCATGGGTTTCCTCTAAGTGCTCCGGTTTCCCCTACAGTCCAAAGACATGCGGTACAGGTGAATTGGGTAGGCTAAATTGTCTGTAGTGTATGGGTGTGTGTGAATGAGTGTGTGTGGATGTTTCCCAGAGATGAGTTGTGACTGGAAAGGCAAACGCTGTGAAAAAACGTGCTGGATAAGTTGACGGATCATTCCGCTGAGGCAACCCTGCATTAATAAAGGGACTAAGCCAACAAGAAAATGAAAAAAAAAAAAATATATATATATATATATATATATATATATATATATATATATATATATATATATATATATATATATATTCATTCATTCATTTATTTTCTGCTGCTGTTCCGGGGACCGGGTCCGGGGGCAGCAGGAGAGAACCCCAGACTTCCCTCTCCTCAGACACTTCCTCCAGCTCCTCCAGGGGATCCCGGGGCGTTCCCATGCCAGTCGAGAGACAGCGTGTCATGGGTCTTCCCCGGGGCCTCCTCCCCGTGGGACATACCTGAAACACCTCCCTAGATAGACGTTCAGGAGTCATCCAAAACAGATGCTCAGGCCACTTCAGCTGACTTCTCTTGATGTGGAGGAGCAGCGGCTCTACTCTGAGCTCCTCCCGGGTGTCAGAGCTCCTCACCCTATCCATAAGAGTGCGCCCTCCCACCCTTGGAAGGAAACTCATTTCGATTTGCTTGTATCCGAGATCTTGTCCTTTCAGTCATGACCCAAATCTCATGACCATTTGTGAGAGTAGGAACGTAGATTGACCGGTGAATCAAGAGCTTTGCCTTTCGGCTCAGCTCATTCTTTGCCACAACGGACAACAAATTCCACAAATTCTGTCCATATAAATTAAGAATAGAATTGGTGACAAGGGGCAGCCCTGCCGGAGTTCAACATGCACTGGAAACAAATCTTACTTATTGCATATCGAACCAGACTCCTACTCTGTTCATACAGGGACGAGATGGCCCTCAACAGATTGCCTCTGATCGAATGCCTTCTCCAAGTCCACAAAACACATGTGGATTGGTTGGGCCTACTCCCATGAGACTTCGAGCACCCTGGTTAGGGTATAAAGCTGGTCCAGTGTACCACAGCCCTGATGAAAACTGCATTGTTCCTCCTGGATCCTAGGTTCAACCATTGGCCAGATCCTTTTCTCCAGTACCCTGGCATAGACTTTCCACAGGAGGCTGAGAAGTGTGATCTCCCTATAGTTGTAACACGCCCTCCGATCCCCCTTCTTAAAAATGGAAATCACCACCCCAGTTGCCCAGTCCAGAGGTACTGTCCCTGACCTCCATGCGATGTTGTAAAGACGTGTCAGCCACAACAGCCCCACAATATCCAGAGACCTAAGATATATAAGGTGAATCTCATCCACTCCGCTGCTTTGTCACTGTGGAGCTTGCAAACTACCTCAGCTTGGGTGATGGGAGAGTACACCTCTGCATCCCCAGTCTCTGCTTCCTTAATGAAAGACATGTTGGTGGGGTTAAGGAGATCCTTAAAGTATTCCTTCCACCACATGACCACATTCCCAGTCAAAGTCAACAGCTCCCCACTTCCGCTGTAAGCGGTGTCGATGTGGAGCTGCTTTCCCCTCCTGAGGCACCGGACAGTTTGGGGCCAACCGATTTTTTCTCCATCGTCTCCCCGAACTCTTTCCAGGCCCGAGTTTTTGCTTCCGCAACCGCCCGGGCTAGAGCCAGTTTCTGTGTCCGATGATCGGGTTGTCGTGGTCCTAACCTTCGACCAGCCCCCGTTTCACAATGCACCAGCCCCTGCAAGTGGTGAGCCTGCGGGAGAATGGTCCCACGTCGCTCCTTCAGGCTAAGCCCAGCCATGTTCTGTGGGAAAAAAACCCAGCCATCAGGCACTCGCATACGAGCCCCTGGTGGCCCCGGCTGCGCCATACCTGTACTCATAAGGGGTTTTTGAACCGCAATTTGTCTGATCTGTCATCTAAGATCTGTTTGCCTTGGGAGACCCTACCAGGGGCGTTAGCCCCCGACAACATAACTCAGCATCACTCAAACACTCAAATCTATGTATATATAAAAATCTATATATAAATCTCTCTCTCTCTCTCTCTCTCTCTCTTTCTCTCTCTCTCTCTCTCTCTCTCTCTCTATCTCTCTCTCTCTCTCTCTCTCTCTCTCTATATATATATATATATATATATATATATATATATATATATATATATATATATATATATATATATATAATATAATAATTCTGACTTTAACTGTATACAGGTTAATTAGGTTAACCAGGCAGGTTATTGTAATTAGGCAAGTTAATTTATAACAATGGTTTGTTCTGTAGACTATAAAAAAAAATGTTTAAAGGGGCTTTTGTAATTAAACTTAAAATTTAATTAAAACAAATAAGGCTTTTGAAGAAAAAAAAAATATTATCAAATATACTGTGAAAATGTTCTTGCACTGTTAAACCTAATTTGGGAAATATTTAAAAAAGAAAAAAATCAAATGGGGGCTAATAATTCTGACTTCAACTGTATACACATTTTTTGATGATCTGAAACATTAAAGTATGACAAATATGCAATAAAAACCCTAATCAATAAGGGTCAAACACTTTCATGTAGATATGAAAAAAGCAGACCAGCACTAATGAACTCAGAGCATTCCAAATTAAACTTTAACCAGATTGAAACAAAATTGAAGAACCGAACTGAAATGACAATATTGCAATCAAACCCAGGCAAAACAAAGACTGCTTTGAGTTCATTTCAGCAGCTCAAAACAACTCACCAAAGCAAGCTTTTTTAGAGATTTTTAGAGAGGCTTTGAAATACCTTTGAACTACCATTGGTTCACGATGATTATGCATGATTTTTTGACATGCATTTTTGTTTTATCATAATATGTAGTACATTTAAGTGTACGTTCAGCCGTATAATAAACATAGTGCTCAATATTAACCATACACAAAAGATTCTACCTGAAGATGATGTTGCTGTGAGCATGTATGTTTCTCCCTCCATATACAGTTTCTGCCCAGTCTTCTCGTGGTCGCACTCCAAACTGGTTGTAGCACTCATCTGAGAAGGCCTGGAAGCTCCATGGCTGAGGCTCAAACATGTCATTGATGCCATCAGTACACATGGGCATCACCATTTCCGTGCAACTCTGTGCAATATGACACAATAAATGTTATTTATTAAAAGATGATGCTAATTTCTAGAAACTTGCTTTTTATTATGGACAGTAATAAACAGACACAATGCAGTATGCTTTTAACTGTAAACAGATTGCTTTGTAAATTTTTTTTACTATTTTATTGCACTCAAAGCACTACATGTACATCCAGTGCACAGCATAAATGAGTACACTTTTTTAAACAAATATTTTTATAAATTCATCATTTAATTTAGACAACATATTTTGGTGTTTTTAAGCAAAACTTTTATTAAACAGTTATATTCATTTAAACAAGAGTGTGGTCACCTAATATTTTATGAACAGAAAGATAATTTATTTAAAAAAAAAATTATTGCAATGTAATGTACACTAATGTGTATACATACACAAATTGCACAGCTCTTATTGTATTCCTGTTGCATCCCATAGAAAATATTAATTTAAAAGAGAAATCTGTAAAGGGTGTACTCCTTTATGCTTGGTTCTGTAAAAACACCTTTTACAATGATGAAATGTTCCACTGAAAATGTAAAACATGTTATTTTATTTCATATAGGGATTGCTTTTTTATGGAGAGCTTGGTTAATAAGAAAAAAAAGTGTAGGGTGGCTGAGAGAGCTCAAATGCACTGCTAGTTAAAAAAAAATAAACACATGCAAATAGAAAAAAACACACATAAATTGATAAATTATCTTTATTAGTTGGACAACACATGCAAACAAATAGTCAACACGTGCAAATAAAAATGTGCTGGAAATGTGGAATGTGCTGCAAATGGTTACAAAGAAAATTTGAACCCAAAAACTGACGAACCTGACTGCTTCAAGTTTAGAGTCAGGAGGGTTGAGGTAAGGTGAGTTTTTGTTGTTGTTTATTTTAACATCCTGTTCATATTATTCCTTGCTTGTATATTTATAGCTGTAATAATCAGACAAATTACACAAGTAACATTCAATTAAGCATTATTTCAATGGCATGGAACAAGTTATTCTCCGAACTAAAAATAAACTTTCTTTGCAACCAAAAAAGTTATGAACCACAAAAAAGATATGAACCACAAATATAAAGACACAGATATAGACACAAAACTCAAACTTTAATACATTTAGTCATGAAATTATTTTAATAATGATTTTTCCAAAAATGTAAAACTGCTGTTCGATAACACAACAACGACAATTTGGATTACTTAAAATACAAACCTATGAAAACAGGATTTCGTAGTACGGAGAAAAAAAGAATCATCTGGAGAAAAAAGAATCATCATTTCCATGTCAAATGAACAAAAATAAAATTGTGACATCACACATCTATTGATATCTATGGTGGACTTCAGCGTTTCTTTTAGGGATGCACCTATACCATTTTTTATTTTTTTTTGGAACCGATCTGATCTGAATACCAAATTTTTATTTTTTTTAAATCAACATAATACAGTTTCTATAGTTCTGGTAATAAACTCAAATAATATATCTTCTTTAGTAGAAATAACAGACCTATAGGCCTTCTGTATATGACAGATGACACAATCTAACTAAACAAGATGCTTGCTATAAACTATGGACTACATTATTAGAGCATTCATACTGTATATGATCTTTTGTGGTCCAGCTTATGTTTACTTTTTAACATTAATATTTTTCTTTGAAATCTGTAATAGGCTACCACTTTTAACCCTAATAGTTGGTAAAATAATCAGCCTTTTAGCAAAGCCTGATATTTTCGTGCAGGTTTGATGCAGACAAAACTAAACCGTCTGAGGTCAGTTTTACTAAAACATTCCCTCGCCTAAACCCCTCGTGAGAGAGATCGAGAAACTGAACGCATGTCTGAAAAATTATGAAACTTTTTAAAACTAATTTGATTTAGTATAATTTGTTATTTAAATGTTTTTTTTTTTTTTTTACCATTTTTTTGTTGGTTAATTATGTACAACATAAACAAGAAGGTTTGAGGTGAAGTTCAAAACAAAGTCCGCTTATATGCTTTAGTGCACAAACTGATAATCTGGTCTGTTAAATAAAATTCTAATATATATAAAATGACAGTGAAATATTCACAGTTTCAGAGTAGCCCATATTAGGCTAAATGGTTTTCTTTTAATGACAATTCACATGGGCCGGGCCTTTAGTTTCTCTTTTGAAGGGCCATGAAACCCCCCTGTTTAAGCAGGCTGTTTTCACACCTCTAGTTTGGAAAAAGTCAGGAAAGTGGGTGTGTCTAGCTCTGTTTAGGTGGGAGTGTCATCACGGGAGGGAAAGAGGGAAGGATTTGGATAAAAATGGGATTTTGCATTTGGGCACACGCTGATTTTCACAGAGGCAAAACAAACACACAGACGCAGGGGTGAGAGACAGCGACTGTGTTTAATGACAGTGGAATGTTTGATACTGCACGTCGTATAAGAGAAAAAAACTCTGCATTTCTCGGTAACTCAGATGCACTCAGTAGGTCAGAAAGCCGTGTGTGTGTAGACCAGGGCTGTTCAATTAGTTTGTCATGGGGGCCGGTTCATGAAAAGCATCCCGAACGAAGGGCCAGAGAGATATGACTTGCTACATGAGTGATGACTCAACTACATATAAGAGCCCATATGCTGTATTTGTGCTCATAAGACACCCACATTGGCTTTTTCTACATTAAAATGTGAATATATTGTATTTTAAAACAACATAATATCACTGCATTGTCCAACTAACTTTTTTTACTTTTTTGTTTTTTTTTTACAAACATTCAAAAGTTGGATTTCCGAGCACAACAAAAGCAGTGCAGTGCTGAAGTAGGTTTCTTCTACATTCAGACACATTCGGATGTTATGTTATGAACTGCATAACAATTAGGGATGGAACATTATAGCTTTTAGTTGACAATTATAGTCTGAAGAATAACCATGGTTTCACGGTTATCACGTCTAATGTAAATTCCACATTTATATTAGGTAAGTAGCTATTTAGATTAACTGTTGTTGCCATCTGTGTTCATGCATACATAATCATTTTAATAATAGTCCATCTAACATATGTTTTGTTTATATTGCACTGAAAGGCACGCACAACTCTCACCGTGAGATGTTTTCTACGTGCGCCCGGGAAGCCGCAAGCATGTTGCTCCGCTTGTGTGCGCATATCATACATTAGCATTAATAAATTTGCAAGAGAAAAAGACGTGATATGGTAACGGCCACAGCTATAGTTTTTGGCTGTCCGCACCACTCGTGTGGTAACTCACGCTCTGCACAGCCTGCAGCTCATACTGTGTTAATCAGACAGACGCACGTAACTACATAATTATCGCGGCCATTTTTCGACTGAACAAAATTTATTTTTAATGTCTTGGTCACACTGTTTGGAAGGCCGGAACAAACTGCCTCGGGGGATGGGTTCAGTCCGCGGCTGCCAATTGAATAGCCCTGGTGTAGACTATCCTGTCACAAAATGCGGCAAAAATTCAACACGACGGTTGAAATAATTTGATTGCGGTGTTTACATGTTTACACTTGAAGAGCAGCATTTACAGCAGATCTTTCAGTCCTTAATATTGTAGTGATATTAACGTATTGTAAACTAAATAACTTAGAAATAATTTGGACTAAGGTATGTCTTTAAACACTGAAAGAGTACTGCTGATGATACAAACTAACGTTGCTATCTGAATAAACAAACAAAGACCACTGATCGCTTACCAAATTTGTAGAGGCAGAACAATTAACACCAACTGAAGCCTTGTCTTTTTTAAAAGGAAACGAGCAGCAAATTGGAATTTCACAATTTCCAGATGCGAAAAGCTCTTGAGTAAAAAATGTTCTGAACAAAAATATTTCTGCCGCGTCGCGTGCAGTGTAATCCACACATGAGTCCACCTGCGCTTTCATACCAGGAAAATGAAAACAAAACCTTAGTTGTAGCACATTTAAAAACGACCTGTATCCCCAAACAATTCTTCTTCTCCCATTTGTTTTTGCAACAAAACATGGCGTCTCTCTGCCGTCTGAACACTGTTTCAAACTGTTTCAGGTACAAACTGTCTTTGAAGCTATCATGCATATTAATGAAGTTGCACCGCAATCACAATATTGCACGCTGATTGGTTTGAACCCAGTCTTTCTCATAAATTCATGCAGCACATTCAGAGATGTCACGAAGTACTTCCAGGTACAGACAGCCAGTCTACACGCTGGAATACACACGAGGACCTAATCGGTGTGATGCAGCTTTAAAAATTGGTTTCAAACCGGAAGAACGAATTTGCTCAAAGTAACGCTAAAACAACCTATTTTCACTTTTTTTGTGTAATATATGTGTCCTAATATGTTTATATGAGCATGGGACACAGCTCAAAAAAATGTGTTTTGGTGTTTTGTGACCCTTTAATAATTTAATCAACTACTTAAACCACAATCAACCAGGCTTTACATATGTTTAGCAACCCTTTAAGTATTTCCCTCTTAAGAGTAAACTCAGTCGGAATGATGAGAGAACATATATTTATTATAAGAATAAACTTACGGAGCAGCGCATGTCGCGTCTGCGCAGCCAATGCCTGAATGAAGCGCTTGCATCACTGAGACACAGCATGCAGCCCTCCAGGATCTGCGGACACTTCCAAAACAGCAGCACAAAGGGGAGGAATCAGTGCTTAAAGGATCTGTCCAATGTATTATTGAGCCTTTTTAAATTAAGTTTCAGGTAGGCCGACTTTGTGTGTGCTCTCAACACAATATCACGGCAGTTCATAACTTTTTAATTTAGTGGCTAATTCGTATGAATTTGTATGATCTAATTCGTAGAATTGAGTACGTTTTGCTCATCCCCCAATGACGGTTGGGTTTAGGGGTGGGGTTAGGTGCCACGCCTCCTTTTTAAAAATCGCACAATTTTGTACGACTGAACTCATACAAATTCGTACGAATTAGCCACTAAACTGGCAAACCGTAAGATACTTAAGATACTTACGTTTTCTTGTGAGATCAGCAGGTAATATCCCTCTAC